CATCTAGCCATAGGGCTCACCTAAACGTAGGATTCCCTTTCCCAGCATTGCTTACAAACGCTTACAACACGGACCCTGCCTATTCAGGGGTTGCGCCTATTGTGGACACTTATCCTGGATCCGACACATTGAGCAATTCGTGTAGGAAAAGTTGTTGGCACAGGGATGACAGGGACGTCATCATCATCGCAATTTTTCGCTGTCGCAGGATACCTTGTTGACTACGTAGGGTCCATGAGGATACACCCAGACACGCACCGCGACGCAGATACATGGACACACAGACACACACACACACTAGAATGTCATGCTCTAACTTGAGGCATGTTGCCTTTGATGACCATTCCTGCGGGCTTGAGGGTTACGTGAGGTCGTACTGGTTGTTCCACCAGGAAACCTCACGAACCGGCCCTACGCGGGCTTTTAAGGACGGCACCCTGTACCATGCTGGCGAGGCAGGTCTTTCTGTCTTCGGCTCCTTGGTGCCCTCCTGTGCTTATTGTCTGTAGCATGCACAAGAATCCAGCGGCAGGATTGCGGGTTTCGGAATCATCGCAGTGACAGATTTCGACTTGCACGGGGTGATTGTAGTTCCCTCGCTGAAAGTCCGACACTCCTCGTAACCGTTTGCAATATGTTGTGCATCCATGGTCGAACGGCCTGACGTCGAACGTCCTGACCGCCCCAAACCGGCACAGAAGTTGCCCATGCGTTTGACTTGTTTGCTGATTCGAGCTGTGCAGGGTCATTCGTAGACGCACAATACCATATCCAACAAACCAGCCTGTTTGTTTTCCTGTGTCCAGCTACTTTCTTTGATTTGTATAATTCTCTCTTGCATTCTTCCTCTCTCTCTGTCACTCTCGCTCTCACTCTCCATCTCTCTCACCCTTTGTTTCTTTTCCTCTCCCTCCATCTCTCTATGTATGTATGTATGTATGTAAGTTGTTGTGCATGACAAACGATCCGCTTGTGTCAATCTGGCGACAGGTCCTTCCCAACGTGGCCGAGGCGATAGCCCATCTTAGACGCTTGGGAAAGTCTGCTAGGGCCCGAGACATTGTTGGGCGATCGACCTGAACCATGTAAGCCCGTATGCACTGTTGTTTGAGGTCGTTTGAAGTTTTGTATTTGCGGGCTTATACAGATTGCCAACTTACTTCGTAGATTAGGTGAATCAATAACAAATGTACTGTACATATTATATACATATATAGAATAGATGTGTATATGTGTATATGTGTATATATGTATATATGTATATATGTATATGTGTATAAATGTATAAATGTATAAATGTATAAGTGTACATATGTATATATGTATATGTATATATCTATATGTATATGTATATATGTATATGTATATATATGCATATATGTATATACGTATGTATATGTATATGTATATGTATATGTATATGTATATGTATATGTATATGTATATGTATATGTATATGTATACTCTCTATCTATCTATCCATCTATCTATCTATCTATCTATGTATCTTTATATGTATATAGTGTATATATATATATGTGTACATATGTACACACAAACATACATACATGCATGCATACATACATACACATACACATACAACGCACAACCCAGAATCCGAAAAGCTGTGCCGTGAATTGTTCGAGACTGGAAGAGAAACGGTGCCTGGCGCCTGCAACGAGCGTCATGAAGTCGGCGAAAATGGGTCTTGGTGCAACGCAACCAGAAGCAAACGATAACATGCCAGTAGCAGTCTTTCTCCTTTAGTATGTGTTTTATTATTACCTCGCTCTCTCTCGCTCTCTCTCGCTCTTTCCTTCTCTACATCTACATCTGTGTATATAGGTAATTATAGTATTACATTTGGAGTTACCAACACCCACACACAAACCCTCACATATATTCACGTATAACTGCACATCGTATTCATGATCTTTCTTATGTGTTGTTTTCATGTTATATACTCGTACATACACATACATGATTGTATCGATTTATCGCGTACGTACAGATATATACGTAGCTATCTGTTTGCGCACATAAATACTTACCTCCGTACAAATCTACAATCACAACAGAGATGTTGTGGTGTTCCTGATAAACAAACAGAGAACAGGGGCTAGACCTCCGAAGCCTGTCGGGTTCAGGTCGTCTTCGTGACGAACACCTCGTCCAGGATACTCTGTTTCGGGGAGAAATACCAGTTACAACAGAAATAACATGAAGTAATACTGATAGAAAAAATCATCATAATAATTGTGTATTGTTAATGACAAATGCAGCGCTTTGTGGGTGTCCGCCCTCTCGGGTTTACACAAGAGAACTAAAGGAACTGTCCGACGAGACGTGCGGGTGTCTGATCAGGCCAAGATCAACCCTGCTTTACTTCCTAGTTGGTGAAGTGTATATTGCAAAGCCGTGGCGTGGGACATCAACAAAAGCTCAGTTTTGTTGGAATTTCCACAGCCAGACCCTAATTATTTGAGCCCTTGATTCTCCTGCTCCTTTGTCGGAGCCACCTATCCCCTGTAAGCGAGGAACCTTAAAAAAGCGCCATGATCGCCCGAAACCCCCAGCCTCAGAACACTAGGAAGCTACCCCATGAGCTTTGTACAAACCGCCGCGGTGCGCTTTTCCGCCTTTGAGACTGACATGCCTTTGCGCAGAACCCTAAACCCTAAACCCTGTAACCTCACCAGGCTTGTCCCAGTTGTGAGTGCTGAAACCCTAAATCCTGCCTACATGATGTGAGTTGCGCGAGTCCAAACCCTAAACCCTAAAGCCCTAAGACCTTAGGCCCTAACGCCCTACAGCCCTAATCCCTAAGAGCCTAAATCCCTAAATCCTAAAACATGGGCCCAAGGCCCTTCGATTGCTTCGAGTCCCTGAAGTCAGAAGCCCTGGCTCTCATCCCAGCGAATCCCCATGAGGACACGTGTCAGAAGCCCCCAGAAATCCCTAAACCCTAAGCCGTAAATCCTCCAAAACCTGAAGCCCACAAAAACCCTAAACCCGAAAACGCCCCGCTAAGCAATTTTACGGTACTGCAGGAGCCGTGAGCAGCTTCGGGACAAACTCTGCGGCCTGGGAGTTGATTGCCAGGCAGAGGCCAGTTTTGCACAGAGGGGTTTAGGGTTTAGGGCTTTTCTATAATCCTGTTCCAATTAAGTGCTGCTTTAGTTAAGGTTCCTTGTCAGGTTCCTAGAGTGGTGTTGTATAAGGAGTTCTAGCAAGGTTCTGAAGTAGGTTTCTAGAAAGGGAGTTGCCTTGTTCTAAAGTTCTATACTACCAGAAGGCATATACCCTAAACCCTAATATTTTTTACAAAAAACATGCAAGCATTGAAGTCTAACCCCTCAACCTGCTTAAGTCCCAAAGTCCCCAAAGCCTAAACCCTGCAACCTGTAGTCCCGGTGAGAGGGCACCAGAAAAATCACATAATAAGCAAAGCGTAGGATAGGGATATCCCATATAAACCCCCTTGTGAAGCCTTATATGGTAGGGATGCCCCAGTAAAATGCTTATGCTTATGTCCTTTTTTGGTTCCCTACTTCTCTTGGATCTTCAAGCTACTTAACCTACTAGTCTGTGGGTTTACATTAGGGATTCAGAGCCTGTAGGGTCTACATTTCATACACGTTCAGAGTTGGGGTTTTGGGAGGCACTCTAAACCCTAACCCTGAAGCCCAATGCCCTAAACTGCTTGCTCCTGGAGCCGAAGGAGTGTGTGCCTTCGGGGGTGCGGGCCCCTCAGATGCTACCGCGAGGTGTTCTGCAAACAGCGGATCTATGTGTTTGTGTTCAGGGTTTAGGGTTTAAGGTTGTGGCGCTTATTGAGGTATCAGGTTTTAGCGTTGAAGGTTTGATACGGCCTCACTGCCCTCCATGTTCGAGTTCTACAGGCTTCGGCATGGGGAAGGCCTGAGACAATGGACCAAGTCTGGCTAGAAATCTTGAACCATCGTGTGTGTCAACAACAGTAGGAATCCGGCCATCTGCCCTCTGTCGCACCAGTACACGTCGTGCAAGGCTATGAGGCCCAAACCCCCAAACACTAAACCTCAGCTCGAGCCCTTAACCCCTAAACCCCTCGACCTGCACCGGCTCAGCTTGCATAAAGGCCTAAGCACAAGCATCATACCAAGAAGACTGCGAAGCCCCGCATTCCTGGCAACGTAGAAAGCAAGTAGCAGCCCACCAAGGTTCGCTGCCTCTTACATCAGGCAAGACCCCTTCAGTCGGAGCTCAATGACCCCAAGCATGTACGCCTGGGCCACCTGCTTCTGCACATGTCAGCACATGTCTACCGCCATGACGATGTGCGTGCAGGGTATAGATCCGTCCATCCGTCCATACATACACATTTATGGTTGTGCAACATCGACATGCGTGTAACGTTGACGCAACCATCTCCGTGTTTTCTTGCAGCGCGCGTCACTGCGTGAGGCAAGGTTTACCGACTTACATCACTTGCATGTCATTGTTGCTAAGCATATGAGAGCCAAAATACATGACTAAAGAGTACTCAAAGGCTCCAGGGGCTGGCAGGAGTCGACATGGTCGCTTTGCGAGGCCGGGTTCAAGAGGTCCCGGATCCCCACAGCGTTGGTTCCAGAAAGCGTGGTACACCGGCATTCTGAGGAAAGCAGTGGCTCGCAGCGTTTGCTTTAGTTCGAACCTGCCTTGTCCGTTTATGCCGACATAGCCATTCATCCATCTGTCTCTCTATGCTATCTCTCCCTCTCTCTCTGTCTCTCCCCCTNNTCTCTCTCTCTCTCTCGCTCTTTTTCTCGCTGTCTGCAACATACACACTTACATACATACATACATACACACCCACCAACATACATACCCACATGTCCACAGACGGTACAAATTTACATACATGCTAAACGCAGCATTCTATTCGCAGCTCCTTGCTTCCCGGACATGTATGAATTCTGCCGCAGTCTCCTCATGCTTACTGTATGTCCGGAGCTTCTTCGTGTCACGCTCGGCAGGCACAGCCATCCAGAGGCGGCCGAAACCAAGCACCCTAAAACCCTACTGTAAGCCTGTAAGCCATTGTCTTTCTTGAGTTGCTGGTTCCGGGGCCAATGCTTTGTCGGGCCGGCTTGGGATTTCGAGGTTGCTTTGGTGTCGTCTCCGGGGCAACCCCGCCAATAAAACGATGCTGAACTGCTGGTACCATGATTCATCATGATTCCATAAGCCGCACTCCTAAGAAGTTACTCATGCGTGAGATGGTTGAGAGCGCCGCAGCTCCAAAAGAAACCAGATAAGATTAGTAGATCCGGACTGCACCAGTGGCCATCAACTGATGTTGTTAGCCAGTGTCATGACGTACCACGACCTGAGATGCTAAGCCCTATGCGCCTATGCGCGTGCGTGTAGCTTGCAAACCGCACATAACCTGTAAACGCCAGCTCCATGTCGCAAAACTGCTTGCAATCCCCAACACGCGATTTTTACAAGTTTGATATGATTGCGGGCTAGGTGGTGGGTGGTGGCCCTGTGCCTGTTGCAGCTGTTTAAGACCCATCGCATCGGAGTTTCATGATCGGTCGTCCCTGGCTCGGGACCGCCTTTCATCAGCCACAGCAGCACTTCAGGGCCCGATTTGAGGTCCGAATCTAAGTACGTCTGCACCTCTAAAAAGCACCAAACCCCCGAATCGACAACTCTCCAGCTGCAAACACCAAGTCCCCACCCATAGCAAAGCTCCGAACGACCCAAAACCCCAAACCTCCAAGATCCGAAAGCCTCACCGTAAGAGTCTTGGGATCATCTCTAGAAGCAGAGCCTTTGAATTCTCCTGCGGCCGCAGCCATGGCCAATGATGATCGGCTTAAGCTTGAAGCCGCTGAGAGCGGTCGACATCCGCAGGAATGCTGTGTTTAGTAAATTTAGGATTCGCTAACCTCATCCCAAGCACCACTGGGTCGGAAGCCTGTTGCAACGTGTGTTTGAAGATATCAAACCCTAGCAGAAATCTGGCTGCTGCATGCAGATGTAGCACGCGACTCGAACTACTGAACGGTTCCAGCGCATGGCCATATCTCAGCATCTTGCCTCATATGAAAAGCTCGTTTGTCTGTGTGTACATTCATGCATGCATGGAAGGATGGAAGTGTGTTTGCATGCATGCATCTATTGCTGTATGTGGGTATGCACGTGTGACCACATGTTCGCATGCATGTGTTTCTACAGAATGGACTGCCTGGGGGCCTGTGTTTTAAATTTGCAGCATAGCCAGTTGTAGGGGTTTTGGGAGATGTATGCAAAAGGATCTTCAGAGTTCCAAGGCAATTAGCTCTCTGTCTCTCTCTCTATCTCTCTCTCTCTCTCTCTCTCTCTCTCTCTCTCTCTCTCTGTCTTTCTATCTTTCAAGGTGGTGCAGCGTCGTCCGACCCCCCCCCTTAAGGTTGAGGATCAGCAGCTGGGCGCGGCGCAGACCAAAACCATGGCCCATCCAGGTGAGTGTCACCACTTTGGACACGCCACGAAGTTGCATAGCTTCAAAAGTCACAACACTCACGAAGATCTCGGGCTCGGGGGGCCCATCCCTGTGACTGTTGGCACTTTTGAGACAAAAGTGACGACCCTCACGAGGATCTCGGGTGCATACCATTGGTGGGGATACCATGGGCGGGGGGTGCACCGACATGCGACGCGAGACCATATATACATATGCATGCATGCATGCATGCATGCATGCATGCAAGTATGTCTGTACATGTTTATTTATTGCTTGCTTGCTTGCTTGCTTGCTTGCTTGCGTGTAATGCAATGTTATGCAATGCGATGCAACGATAAAACGTTACTCCAGTTGCCACGGCTTTCTCTGCTGCTTTCGGATTGCCATGGGGGTCCCCAGTAGTGCAGTTGGGGCAGCTTTGTTGTTTGGCCATTGACATAGTGAAGGGCTTGGTGGTGTGCATGGTGATTGCAGGGTAGAAGCAGGTGTGAGGCATCGGGACTGAATTCTGTGACTGCAGGACATATGAAGTGTTTGAGGGCCCAATGCATTGAAAGATGGCGGACTGCGCCGGCGCCAGCACATGAAGAAAATTCTAAAAGGTGTTTGCAACGCGTCCTTGGCCATGTTACAGCCGTCAACACGTGCTATCTGTTGAGGTGTCTCCCTTGGTTTTCGAGCTTCTAGCCCTCGGAACAGAAACCACCGACCCTAAGGAACTGAAAAATATTGTGCTCGCTGCTTCGGTTCAGCATCATCGAAGCTCTAGCATCATAGTAGGCAATACGGTGTCTTTGGCATGTAGGGACTCGTAATGTCCATGGCTGGGTATGGCGGTTTCGCCTCGACTGCAAGTCTTTGGCTCTATGACCGGAAGTTGCGGAGCAGGAGCTCGTGGCAGCAACCGATGCAGGCGCGACTTGCGACATGTTTTGCAACATTGGAGCATCAAGTGGGTTACATAATCTTATGCTGTACTGCAAAATGCCCGCAAGAAATCGTCTTCGCAGACACAATTTCAGACTTGTTTGTCCCAGGTTCTGACTCATGATGCACAGACGGAAACCCAAACTAAACAATGTGTGAGACTTCAGGCTTCCTATCATGTAGGAAGGGAATGTGACATTCCATGCATACATCATAACCATGCCGGTCCTGTTCCGTCTAGCTTCAGCCAATACGTTTCAGGCATCAACACAATACAGCACAGCTTGCATCATTGGTTTTCGGCTGAGGCTGAACTTGTTCAGGCTTGGCCTTGTTTACGCATTTTGGCACACGGCAACAGGGACTACCGTCAGGGAGGCTTGGTGGATTCGGCAGTGACCCAAAGGAATGGGAGAGATGTCTTGCGCAGGAGCCAGGGCAGACTTAGCATGGTTCTTGCCGACCGTATAGGTGCCTTCCGACTCGTCAAAGCGGACGTGCCGACACGAGGAACAAGCCGCTTGCCCTGTGTGACGTTGCTTGAGGGCTTTTTGGAAACCTGCACAAGCGTGCACGAACCCTAAGCATGTGTGGAGAGGTGTGGGTTAGTGTCGGTTAGTGCCACGGGCTTGGTTGTACTTAAATAATCAGTTTTTGCCCAGGCAAGAATGGGCCAAACATCTGGCAACAATGCCGCGATAGACCCGATAGACCGTGTGGTTCTTGGTGTCTCCCTGTCCTGAGCCTTGAGCACTGCAACATGAAGCGTCGTGCACTCTGGATTTCGGACAAGACTATAAGATGGTATGGAGACGGAAATTGAGACTTCTGAAGCCTCCACGCCTTGTCACATCGTACATCATCGCGTGTGCATGCAGTCAAACTACTGTAGATTCAGCCCACGAGCCTATGTAAGCAAAAAGCTCCTTCTCGACCACACGATATATACAGATTCGTTGCATCCCCCGGCAAGGGACCTCAATTCGACCAGAAAGTATAAGATCAACGACTTCCGAGCAAAAAAACCTTTGCAACTGTAAGAACCGCAGATTCAGGCTGCTTCAACATGTGCGTTTTCACTTAGACTTCGGTTGCAGATTGAAGAGCCAAATCGGCCTCTTTTAGGGTTTAGGGCTGCTGTTTACAATCAGTCGGGGAAATTTTATAGCACGCGTCTCAGGTATTCTGAGAATCAAGCGGCCCAGCTTCCACAAGGCACGACTAGCATCCCAATCTCGCGTAAGCCCAAGTATGACTCCGTAGGTAGGCTGTTGTACTACAATACCTTACTGGTATCAAGTCTCGCCCACAGGACAAAGCATATCTTGGCTAGGTAGTATTTGATTTCGAGTTGCAGGAAGCCTGTGTCTGCAGCTGTCTAGTGAAGCGGATATTCAGGAACACGGCAGGGGTTCAAAATGGATCACAAAGAGGTGAGTGTAAGACTTAGACACCTGAGTGACGATTGACTTTTTGCTGCTGCGTTATGCCACCTAGGCTATAACCCTAAACGAGTGTGAGTGCTGAAACCCTGTTGAACCTTGTCACAGTCCTAGCCTTCGGCTGTTGCGACATGCAGGCCGCTGACACTGCAAAGAAGTGGCAGACCATGGAGGACGACTGGGATCCAGCAATGGCGACTGGGCAGCTTTAGCAACCCTTCAGGGTTTAGAGATGGTTAGGGTTTACAGTGAAAGTTTACAGTGCTTAGCGTTCAGCGAGGGTTTATAAGGTTTAAAGTTTAGGATTCTATGGTAAGGTCAGGGATTAGGGCAGGCTGCTGTAGTTCCGTTTTACCTCCGGTGGGAAAGCCAAGACCTGAGGTCCCAGCCGATGTAGGCGTTGGAGTCATGCAGTTGGCCAGCAATAATAGCCATAGACACTCACAAGAAACAGATGACAAATGCCATGCGGACTTACATCAACCTCGTTTGACCTCACATATCATAATCCCTTCGTCGTGGCTCGACTCTTCAGGCTCTATAGGCTTGGTTTTCTTGCAACTCCCTACCATTTTTCACATCAGGTGCGCTTCTTTTCGCGCTGCTACCTCGGCTGCCTGCACGAGCCCTTCAGGGCGTAGGCACGCAAAGACCGGAAAGGTGATCTTGCACGCGAGACTCTGGGCGCGCAGCTGCAGACGTGGGTACCCCAAAGGGGCGCCACTCGGCTTAGCCAGCTCGCCCCTTTCATCCAGCTGCCGAGCGGCGGTGACAGAGCCTTCGCAGATGTTTTGGCGAAGGAAGGTTATACCGCTGCAGCAGTATTGAAGATTTACTGCCCTGCTTTGCCCGAGCTGGACTTAAGCTGATCTCTGGTGTTTTGCACAGTTCGGGTACAAGACGAAGAAGTGACAGACCTCTGCATGCCGACCTCGTCGAAGCAGACATTGCTGACAGATGCTGACAGAACCCAGAGACTCCCATAACTAAGGGTCCCGATGAAGGAATCCGATGCGAGTCTACACACGACTGCATTCAAAGATACCTTGCTATGAGGTTTGGTAAAGGAGTTCGGAGTCTCTGGATAGCAGAGAGGAGCGGGAGGAAATAAGCTGCAATTGGAATGAGTCTCTTTCGTGGTAGGCAGTCGGTTCTGAACATTGGATTGCCGCTGCAGGTGTAGCGCCACCAAGAATAGTCGTTCTGATGTAGGCAGGCATGGTTCTTTTTGGGAATACTGCGGCTAGCAATATGGACAGTTTGACAGTATTTGGACGCCAGTGTTCCATCTTGGCACCGCCACTTGCTACCGAGCCATGACCTTGTTGGTATGCATTCCTGCAAGCCCTCTGTTCACACACAGCTTGAAGCTGCTGTTTCCAATGCAACTTCTGTCATTTGCTCTTGGAACCTGTTGCGCCGTTTTCACCCTACATGGATGCTCGACTTTTTTGGCGAAGTTAAGCCCTGCTGAGAGCAGGGGCCCTGAAGCCGAGCTGTCCTAGCCTAACTGCCAGGGGTCACCCAAGGCCATCCAAGGCCAAATGTGTGCTCATTTTGCTGCTACAGGGCTTGGAGCTTCGGGTTCTGGGCCCCAGCCCCCAGCCGGAGGCCTGATGCCACCGACATCAGCTCCCCCCCAAACCTCGCAGACCCGAAGCCCCAAGCCGCGTGACGTAGAAGTCACATCAGAGTCACATCTTTTTGCATCCTTCCCCCTGTCAGGCCTCGAATCTCTACATCATCGGTGCCTTGGAGACTGTGGATATTACACTTTCCGCCTAAGGGTGCAGGCTTTAGGTAGCCTTGACATAGCGAGCCCACAGGCTTCCAAGGATCTACGAGACTTGACTTTGTCAAGACACTCACTGTGAAGGTGGTGGTGGCCTCGTTGCAGAGTTTGAGAAGCTGGGCTTCTGCTGCCACGGAGGTCCCACTGAGGACTGGGGTGTCAGGTTCCCCAACGCAATCTAACGCAACCTTGGTGCACAGAAGCTTCGCCGAAACCGGAAACCCGAAAGCGTATAGTGTCAAAATAATTACTGAAGATGACTAGGTTGTGAGAGTGTAAAACTTATGCTAGTTTGGAACCTTGAACCCCAAACCCAAGCCTCAAAGCCGAAGTTGGGGAGGCGAACACCAGGAAAACAACTAACTGGAGAGCCCCAAAGAACAGAAGGACCCAGAAGCACTTGCTGTCGCAGGACGAAGAGCGCTTCAGCGAGGACGGTTTCAAGGCTTTGGCGGAAGAGGTTGCCGCGACACGTCTGACGGCCCAGTGTGAAGATGTGGTGCTGCTGGGATATTTCAGGGTCTTTGACCCAGGGCAAACTCCGAACGAGGATGAACGAGGTTCGGAGACTTCGGCATCGAAAAGTTTGTGTCATTCAAGCCTTCAGTCAAGTCCACACGCTCCGAATATGGGGCTGCTTTGTTTTATTTTTTTCGACCCCCCGTGGATGTTGACAAGCTGTTTCTCTCTATGACTCTAAGGCAACCCTAGTCCCAAGCATGCCCCCTACTGACACAACTTGTTCCAACGCACTTGGCGCCGCATCAGCACTGGACGCCAAGACAGCTACAAATTTCAGCATGCAACTTGTGATCGCAGTAACAAATACCATGCAACTAGCGAGGCTCCTAGCGATAAAGATCATGGCACTAGTAACAACACTTGATAACAATGATGGTAGTGTTTTCTTAACCGTTGATGATAGTGATAGCAATAATGGTAAGAATGAGAATAGTAACAAAAATGACTAATCATTGTAGCAGTATCATAGTAATAATAATAATAACAACAGTGAACAAGCGATGGACTTTGCACCGTCGCTTGTGCAGTGTTCGCAGAAGACTACAGGCTTCGATGGCGTGGTGGTCGGATGGGACACTGCCATTACCTACTACAAGATTACAAAGAGTGGTCGCCTTGGAGGCTGAATTTTCAGGCATCCCGGATTGTGACTGAAATTGCTGGGAAGAGGGTGCAAGCTTGTCTTTGTGTTCTGCTTTCTCCACCGCTCACACCCTAAAGCCCTGAACCCTTTAAGACCTGTAAGCCGCAAACTGTAAGAGACGCCAAGGTGCGCTCGTCTTCCAACTCCATCCTCAGCGCCGGCCTTGGTGAAGGAGTTGTGATTTTTCTCTTGCGCTTTAAGGGCTGTGTTCTGCTTGCTCACGCTCTGCTGTACCAAAATGGACACTACAACAAGGCACGACACTCACTTTTGCTGCGAAGGGCACCAGAGCAGTAGCCACGAAGGCAGTCGTTTTCAAAAGTTCGACCTGCCTCTCG